TGCGAATGCCATCTTGGAATAGTATGAGCTAAAGATGAGTAGATCTATAGGCTTAACTAACCTCAATTACTTTCTGAAATCTCTCGAAATAGAAAAGTCTCACCACCATTTTGATTTTGTTTTTTTCATTTGACTGTTATCATTGGGAGATATGAGTGGACCTACAGAAATCGACGCGCACAAAGTTGATATCGGATCTGGATGTTCTTCTCTGAAAATGTTCGCATCATCGTCGTTGTTATCAACTGATTTATGATCAGTGTCTAAATTTGTCATCTCAATCTGAAATCTAATGTATTCACATTAGGTCTAATTGCAACTTTAAAAGAAAAGCAACGAATCTTATAGGTCTATAAGTGACGGACTCATTTCATTTATCTGCTCATCGATGTATCAACACTAAATGCATTGATATCTTTTATCGTTTGATAGTTAGTCTGATCGATACACTAGTTAACTTGTTTGAATTAAAAAAATGGATGACTAGTGCATTATTTATTGACATAAAAAACATTTTCTATTCATAATCGAATATTACTTTGTAACGATTTGTTTATCCTTTCCTCTTCATATTTCGAACACGTTCTCACCTCTTCTATTCCGTTTAATATACTTTTTTCTTCATAATTATGATTATGAGCATTGAAGCGAATATTCGACAATTTTTATACATGTAAACATGCGAAAAAATTCTCAATAAAATATGTCTTCCAATATCATACAAAGTGATGTTTAATCCAGGATTAATTATGATATTCATTTACACGCGAACCAAAACGTCATCCATGTAAACTTAAGACACAGTCAGAAGACTTACTAGCTGACGTATATTCAGATGCTTCTACTAACAGGATCGTGCTCAAGTAGTTTTTTTTCTGTAAAGTCGTTCAATTACAGAATAGTTAGATAGAAATCGTCATTTGTATGTATTGAAAGATATTCTCAATGATCATTCGACATCTGTTCTTCAAATAAAACCTCTTAAGCCATTTGAAAGTTCTTGGTTATAATTATTTGCCTTATCCAAACCTCGTTTGATATTTGTTATTACAAATAATATTTCAGGTATAAATAGAGAAAGAAAACGAAATACAAATTTGTTTAGAATTGTATGAAATTATAGCAAAAATGTGAAACAATAAGTGGTACCTTCTTCAAAACGACACAAAATGAATATCATTATATCCTCATGCGTATGAGTTTGAACGTCTGGTCGTAAATATGTACCTTTTTTTCTAAGATGAGCTGAAAAATTTCTTGCCTAACTGTGAAATTTCATGTGAACGCGTTTGAATCCGAAAAATGTTTACATGGGCGGTCACTCCGATAGTTTATGGCTATATTACTATTCTTTTCCATATGAAAATTGTAAGTGTTAGAAAATATTGTAAAGGTGTATAGCGTCGGCAATTTTTCGAAACTCTTTAATATTTATATTCAAGAAAATAGTTGTGAAAATTTCCATTTTCGAGAGATTTCAGAAAGTAATTGAGGTTAGTTAAGCCTATAGATCTACTCATCTTTAGCTCATACTATTCCAAGATGGCATTCGCAGCACCTATAATAGACAAGAAATATCTTCAAAATCGGTCGATGCTTGAAGAGTCGACGACATCATCAGCTTCGTGTTCAAAGTATTTGATTTTCTAGCTGCTTACGTAGAATGAATTTTGAAAGGTGGTGTTCTTATTAGCAGAAATATTCACGGTGATGAAGTAGCATATCAATTACACTACTGGTCACAGCAAAAAATGCAGTCCTGGATTAATGGTCTGCCTTTCTTTTAGTTGACTCTCAAGGTCAACTGAGCAATGAACAATTGATCAAGGTAGTATATCTTATTTCAATACTTTTCTATTAACATGATATTTAGATTACATGTACTTTCTGACGCTCGGGTTCTGATAGAAAATCTTCATATGCAGTTAAAAAGGAAGAGTAAAACATAGGGCAGAGGAAAGTTATATGAGTAAGTCAAATGAGCGAATTGATATATGGATCTCCGCCACTGTAGACTTGATAATAAGAGATCCGCAATGAGAACGGCTTTACTGGTTGAGACAAGCGTGACTTCATATATCTTCCGCATAAAACTCTCATCGATATGAATAAAGCACATAATTTTTAAATTAATCGATCATACTAAATTGAAACGGGACAAATGTATCACAGATTCATAGAAGATTGAATTCGACACACATAAGAACATATTTGTTTAGTAGAGAAATCTAGAAATTCTTCTTCTTGTTTTATATAGTTACATGTTACAAAGACATCTTATATTGCTTCTCGCAAACTATTTGCTCCACAAGACCGCGTATAAGCGAGAGTCTGATATTTCAAGAACTTCTCTATTGCGTGACGAGATTTACATGTTTTAACAAGTAACATTAGGTTTGGCTTCTTTCACTCTGAAAACCCTTCAGGTTGTCATTTGAGATAGCCACCGTCAAGAAATCAGTGAATTATAAACCGCTGAAGTCTGATTGGATTACGCAATCAAACAAACTGTTAGCATATGAACGATCGGCTTTACGACGCTAAATCTTTTTGCTTTAGAAAAGGAAACACAGTATATTCTGCCTATTTGGCGACGAGCACCTAGTAAGCCAAAAGTCAATGAAAACAAACAAAGTTCGTCGTTTCGACTCATCCTCACCGCTATGTGTTGATATCTATCTCTTTCCGCACCCTCTCACATCCACATCCGATTACATAAAGAGCGAAAGAAGAAACGAGTCGAAATAATATGAAATATATTCAACTTCAGCCAGATTAAATGTGTATTATATAAAAAAATTGAAAAAAAATCAATCAATGTCTGTGATTTGCTTGACAGCCATGTACAAAATGCCAATTGAGTTTTACTTTCAATTGCATGTCAATGCCAAATACAAATTACCTTCGTATCGTTCCATAATATTATGTGTAAAATCAAAACATTCTCGATGAAGATTTGCACGAGCTTCTCTATATGTTTGTGCCCATCGACCATTTGCACCAAAGATGTAAGACGAATCGACTGTACATCGACAACGACCGTGACTAACAGTGGAACAACCCCATGGTCGACTCGATGCATTCATCAACGCATCAAGACATAGCTGAGCATCGGATTCTTTTCCCTTATCACCATTGCGATTACCATAACAAAATGTCTTATAAACTCCACGACCACCATTACAATTACCAGCACCAGCACCACGTTTTTCACGTTCAGCCGATGGTCTAAAACAAACAATAAGAAATGAACGATTTCAATAACGAAATGACGCTTTCTTTTTCTTACGCTGATGCACATAGATCGATGAGAATAATGAAACAGCAAAGTAAGATGAAACCAGATTGTTTCGACATGATGACAATACGAAGTGAAAATAGAAATACGAAAGATGATTTGAAATGTATGTGTTGAATCGGCTGTATTCGATTGAGTATTTATATGGTCATAATTGTGCACGTCATCATCCATCCCACAGAAAGCCGTGTTGTCAGTTTGTGAAGGCGTAAAGTCTATTTTTATTCTTTTGTATTTTATAGGTAATTGCGCATTGTATTCGAATGTATAGATGGTATAACTATATTTGTTGTTTGTACGTCATTTGGTGAAATCAGTCGTCACGCATTTTGCTATTTTGAGAGATGGGATTTGCGAGTCGCTTACATCGGAAAAGAAAACGTGAGAAAAGAGAAACAAGTCAGATGAAATGGATAAAATTCTCGAATCTTCGTATTTTAAGGAAGCGCAATATTGCAGATCTTTTATGTTCAGTATTGAAAAATTTAGAATAATTCTCATCCAAAAAAGTCTTTTGCAAAATCGTGACGCATTTGTGTCGTTATTAGAAAGTAAAACTGTCTGTTAGATACAAAGTTCGCCAAGCCCTCAACGATTTAGAGTCGTCATATAAATGTTCGTCATTATGTATGTTTCGATTAAAGGGATACACTACGCAAATCGATCGTGATAAATTACTAGACCTTTTGATGATCAAATACTATCTTCCAAAAGATCACTGTTCTATGTTTTGATGAAAATGTTGATTTCACATTTGAAGGAAAAGATTATAGCCTTGTATTTGAAGATCTCTGATTCACATACGTTTATTAGTGAAGTTTTCGTCTTTTAGTATGACCAACATTTATCTCTACACTTCGTAAATATTATGAATGTCACCTATTTCGTCACTCTAGAGTTGTTGTTTAACATTTGGTATCAATCGTCAACAATACTGGCAGAATCCTTCATTCTGTCAAAAATTGAGCATCAACGTGAGTTTAACTTCTTTTGGCTATACTACGATATATTGTCATATGTGTATACTTCTATTTCTTTTTGCAGAATGATAACCAGTAGTAAACAATTTACTTGACCTTTCTCTCCAGAGTTATCTTGAATATAAAACGACTCATATGTAACAGATAGGAATCATCTATATATATAAAGAAGAAAGTTTGTCTGTCTGTCTGTCTGTCTGTTCGCTATGCATTCAGCCCCTGTAGCAGCTATCGGCGTGCAACTTTCCACAATGCTTCCTGAGACCCAGAGGAAGGTCGACATCTACTTTTCCCCGAGAACAAAGGAGCCAGCCATTTGCTGCAGGCAATATATGAAATGGACCAATAGGATTGCGAGATTTCCCAAATTGAGGAAATTAATAGCGAAGGCGGCCGAAGGCCGTCTGAGCGCTCATAGACAACAATCCACATGTTCGATCTGTGCTTCGGAGTCCTGTGCATGCTACAAGCAACCTGCGAAGCTGACCAATAGGATTGCGAGATGTGAAAAATTGCAGCGGGTCGGTAGCGAAGGCGGCCGAAGGCCGTCTGAGCGCACATAGACATCAATCCACGTGTT